GTCAGATCATTTTTTAAATTGAAAGAAAAAAGTTAGGAGATAAATTTGTTTATTCCTTAATTTGATAAAATTTTTTTAACGATGTTGGATTGCTTTTATGATGTCTCTACTGTTTTACATTTTGTGTTATAGTATTTTTGTGCTATTGGTCAGTGTTTATCGAATGTTAAGTATAATTTTGTACATATGTCACTATATTATTTATTTATTGAAATAATATATTTTCACTTATTCGCATTTTATCAAAATTGTTGTTTGATAGTAAAAGGAAAAATTTATATAGACATATGAAGTATTAAATTTTCAATATCTAAAACAGAAGATTGAATTTCCGACATTTTATGAGTTCGGAAAAGTATTTTTGTGAACAATTAAAAATATTTTCTTTTGCAACATTTTCTTGATGAGTAAGCTGAAAAATGTTTTAAATTGTTCATTATTTATAAATTCTGAATTTAAAATTTCGTTTAATAATGTAATGCGTAGTAATGTAGCTTCCCTGTGCCTTTTCTATAAATATTTTCATGGTAATTGTTCTGATAAGCTTTCCACTTTGGTACATCGACTTTACGAATTTAAATGAAGTACTAAATTGGTAGCAATGTCTCACCATTTTACAATTAAATAGATGTAACCGTAAGTTCTGTGCTAATAGTTTCTTCTCTTTCACTTCTCGCTTGTGGAACTATCTTCTGGTCTCTTCCTTTCCAGTCACCTTTTGATCTTCAAAAATATCAATGCTTTATCTTTTTTCTTAATTCTTGTTCCCTCTGTCTTTTCTATAAATATTTTTATGATAAGTGTTCTGATGACCCTTTTTTTCTCCCTGGTGCTTCGATTTTAAGCGTGTTACTCGATTGGCAACTAGGTCTCACCGTTTTATTGTTGAACTAGCTAGATGCAACTGTCACTTCTATTCTAACATTTTCTTGTTTCCCTGTCACCTACGATCTTCAAAAATGTAAATGCATCAATCGCCATCTTCTTTCTTTCTGATCCCTGTTTTTTTTTATTCTATTTTCCTGATTCTTCCTCAATAAAATATTCTCTTCTCTCTCATTCACTGTACCCTCATGCGTCCTAAATATATTATCGCCTTGCTTGAGGTGAAATAATTAAAAAAAAGAAAAAAAAAAAGTTTCATTCTTCTTTTCTCTCACACTCAGTAAACCCTCTTGCTTGCGACTTAGTGGCTTTATTGCCTTGCCTGGGGTGAAATGATTAAAAAAAATTGCTTTTTCGTCTAATATAAAATATACAGACCAATTATTTTTCAGATTCCATAAAATCAGTTACCAATTAAAAAAACAAACTCTGCCAACCTTTCAGTTCTAAAAAAGAAAAATGAACAAAATATTGGCTCATGTCATTGTGGAAAATATGATTGATAGAATAATATCATCTGTATTTTACTTCTGTTTGTCCCTCCCTCCTTTTGTTAGTTCCTACGACCGTTACGCCCTGCCAAAGTAACATCTTTTTTTTTTTTTTAAATTACCATACCGACCATATAATTAAAGATAGAAACGGTTATTTAAGCAGTGCATGAACGTTAGAGTTAAGTGACCATTATTATGAGGAGCTATTCTGGATGTCATTTCAACTTAAGGACTTAACGTGAAAAAAAATAAATTGTAAAATGTTATTTTTTGCCTCACCAGTGGGACAGAATTTAACATGCTGGGGTAAATTGTAACAACTAAAATTAGGAGAATGAAACCACTTGTATTTACGATTCAAATCCAATTTTATTTAACTTTAACAAACATGAAATAATTTGAAATCCGTCGAAGAAGTGATAAAACTGTCTTACTATGATATACAAAATATGTGAATTTCTACAGACGTGACGATTTTGGATATTCTGATCTCCTCGTTTGGTTTTTCGTTGCGGTGTGAAATCTCATCCCTAAATCCGCATGTTACTTTTTATTCCGTGTTACTTTATGCCTCACTTTACCCTACATATTCTGATAAGTTTAAGTCTTTGGCCATCTGATACTAGTTATAGTTCGTTTAAGCTTTAGTCCAATGTTTTTCAACTTTTTTTTTTATTTTTATCTCACGGCACACTTGAACCTATAATTAAACTTCCGTGGCACACTTAAATTATGGTTAACAAAAAGAATATACTTTGTATGATTTATTTATTAACACAAATAAAACCATTATAATTTGTAATAAAAAGATTAACTAAAAAAAACATTAATTTATTATTGTTTTATTATAATTTAACATTTAATGAAATATCTGAGATAGTTGTTTTCTTTTTTAGACTATTTTTGCAAGGAACAAGGCATACTTGCAATCTTTTTGCAAGAATTCTAGACGTGATCGAGTTTTGTTTTTAATGCTATTTATTGCAGAAAAACTTGCTACACGCAAATATGACGGTGTTCAAGTCCTTGTCAAATTGCATCATCTATGGATGTGTTGTGAGATCTCATTTCACACACACACACCATCCACTTTATGTATTATGTAAACATTTGTTTATTATAACAATGATATACTTGTATAATCAATTTAAAAGGGTTTTCATTTTGATATCTATACCTATTGAGCTTCGAACTTTTGAAAATAATTTCATTAAGCAATGAAAAATGTTCGCGACATTCAATTTGAAAATCATTGCTTTAGACAGACACTCGTTATGGTACCTATTGCGGTAAAGTACGGCCCGGTGAAATTCTGTCGCAAACTGTTGTTATTCCACAAAGACGTATACCTGCATTTGTTTAATGAGAACCGTTTGATAAGGTTCAGATTGTGCGCCTTTTAAGAGGTTGGGTGATCATTTCGAAGAAATACTGCACATGTTGGACGTGACACGTCGGTGGTGTTTCGATCTTAGACCCTTAGATCTGATTCTGGACAGCCACATGGTACAGGCGCTTGCCTAGATAAGTGATTTGTAAGTGCAACAGTTGCAGCCACAGTACAGATTAAAACAAGTGTTGTCTCAGGAGTGTCAATACAAACGGTTAGGAATCCTTTACTTGCAGCAGAACTATGGACATGCGTGCGCCTAGTCAAACTCCATCTTAGGTCACAATATCGTCGTTCAGATCTCCAGCGGGGGGTCGAATAGTGCTCTATTGTATCCAGTGATGAGAGCAATTTCTGTCTTCATGAAAGTGATGGTCGTTCGTGCTCGCGCGTAATTATACATTTATACAATTATGTAAATTGCATAAGTCAAAGTATTGGTAAAGTCAACACAAATCCTGCCAAGTGACCAAAGAAAATCTAAGCAAACAAAAAACAGTAGGAAAAACCGACAAAAAATGGAAAAGGAAACCTAAACCGATAGAGTGGGGGGGGGGGGTAAAAGACCAAAAGACATCCACCCAGTGGCCTAGAGTGGCATTGAACACCCGGGTCAGTTTAAATGAGCTGTTATAAAGTCTAGTAATATTTTTTATCCAGTATTTTTTTTCCTGATTATTCTTATTCTTCTTCTTAGTATTCTTATGTTTTTTCACTCTTAAAAATTTAACACCCGGGGAAGTCGATTCTCTGCCTCCAGCTACGCTACACCACTGCAGACACCTATCTAAACAATAACAGACAGTACTCAATGTCTAAATGACCAAGACAGAGCAATTACGCTACGCAGTGACACACTAAAAAAAAAAAAAGAGACTATGTTTAGATCTGGTCATGGGAAATTCGAGTAGTAGTAGTAGTAGTAGTTTTTGAACTCTGTATTATATATAATATAATATTTTATATATATATATATATATATATATATATTATTGAATAATAGATACTACTTAAATTTTTAATAGAGAGATACATTGCAAGTTCAGTCATCTAATGAGCGATTTATATCGAGAAACTGACAATTATGGCAAGGAGTTTGTAAGGACCGAGATTCTAAATGTTTATGAATATTCTTAAACAAATTTTTTTTAAACATAGGTTTGAATCTGTGTGTGTGTGTGTATATATATATATATATATATATATATATATAATACAATACACTGATTTTTATTCTGTTAATATAATTTTTCTCTATAATTTTATTTTTGTAACGCCTTTTAGGAGAAAAATCCCTGTTTCCATTTATAAACATTCTCGTATAAATGTAGCAGGTTATTTCAATTGACTAATTTAAATTAATACACAGTGTAGAATATGATGGATTCGAACTGGTAGACTGTTATCCCGACAATACTTTCACATTACCTCTTCAGTGATGATCCTTTTGAAATACTCGGCTAAGCATAGTGTTATTCTACATGTTCACACTGTTTGCTTCATCCTCGTACTTGTAAAATCTATGAGAGCCAGCCAGAAATCGTTATTTTCGTCGTGGATACTTGTGAAATTTTTTTTAAAAACCCTTCTCGTTAATTTTAAAAATACTCGTAAGAAAAAAAATGCTGAAAAGATGGATTTCTATTAGGTGACTTAGTGTCTGAAATAGTAACGCCGTTTCCACTAGTGTCGGCGGTTGGCGTTCGAATCTAGGTAAATGATTTTTATAGAGACCCTTCTCACTTAGAAAATTGGTTTGTTACATTGTTTTAGCAAGTACATTTTCAATAATGGTGTCTATTGACGTTCACTACATTTCAATATATCATATATTTCGGCCATCTTTTTTTCTCTCAATAACATTTTATGTCTGCATTTATAAACCTACTTAATAGCCTTTAAATTCATAGGCTGTCTGTCTATAAAAAGCTATCTAATCTATTTGTTAAATTTGACTGAAACCTACAATTCACACACGCAAAATAAACATCCTGTGAAAACCTGAACTGCAAATACAACCGAGTTTATCCTCGCCTTGTTTGCCTGTTTATGCAAGCAAACATTTTTAATCCTATTCGTCACACTTTCTTTTAGTGATAATTTTTTTCCTTCTCTTTTTAAAATGTCTTTTTTTCTTCTTCTGTTTACTTTATTTTCTTCTGTTACTTTTTATTTCCATTCTCGTTTTCTCTTCTACCTTCTCCTCCTACTTCATCTTTTCTTCTCTATAGCTTGATCTTTGCTCACGCTCTCTTTTCCGCTCTCTCTCTCGCTGACGCTCTCTTTTCCGCTCTCTCTCTCGCTGACGCTCTCTTTTCCGCTCTCTCTCTCGCTGACGCTCTCTTTTCCGCTCTCTCTCTCGCTGACGCTCTCTTTTCCGCTCTCTCTCTCACGCTCTCTTTCCTTTCCTCGCTCTCTCTCTCGCTGACGCTCTCTTTTCCGCTCGCTCTCTCTCTCGCTGACGCTCTCTTTTCCCCTCTCTCTCTCTCTCGCTGACGCTCTCTCTTTTCCCCTCTCTCTCTCTCTCTCGCTGACGCTCTCTTTTCCCCTCTCTCTCTCTCTCGCTGACGCTCTCTTTTCCCCCTCTCTCTCTTTCGCGCTGACGCTCTCTTTTCCCCTCTCTCTCTCTCGCGCTGACGCTCTCTTTTCCTCTCTCGCTGACGCTCTCTTTTCCTCTATTCTTTCGCTTTCATTTATTTTTCTCTCACTCTCCTTTCACCCTGATCGCGGCCACCGCTCGGTCGGCTTCACACAACCGTGAACAGGCTAACTTAAGATCTTCCGTCCAATTAACTAGCAATTGTGAATTTCAAGAAATTCAAACCTCTCCCACTGTGAACGGTTGTGTGGTAGGGATCCGCATCAAAAGCCGTTATTAGTTGCCGCCCCAGGCTCTTTTTCGTGTTTCATAAAGCAGAGGAGAACTGGGGCCAAAACCCTATCGTAGTGAACTTCAAAACAATCGTTGTAGCCTTTTAACTGTCTCGTTCACATTTCATTTCTTTCTCTTATTTTCTTTTCTTTAGTTCTAATTTTGTTACATTTGCAAATCGCTTCTCCCAGTTCTTCTTCGACCTCCTGCTGTCATTCTGTTTGGATATTTCTTTTCTTATCCCACCTCTATTTTCTCTTCTGTTGTCTTCCCATCAGCACCACCCTTCCTCACCGAACATAGCCCACCCCTCCGACTCTCTTTATCCATCTGCCAGCATTGAATAAAACAATAAAAGATCCACCACCTTTAAAGAAAAACAAAACAACGAAGAACAAAACAAAACAAAACAAAAAAATCCTAAAAAACTCGCGCCTTCAACTTTTTTTTTCTCCTTTGAAAAAGAGGCGGGGATTATATTTTTCAAAGTAGCTTTTTACTCAACGTTCTTGTCAGCTTTTTTTTTTTTTTTTTCGTTTCCCCACCCTTTTTATTGTCTTCTCTACATTTAACGTTCTTTGATTGGTCAAATGCCTATTCCCTTGCTTTCAATTGGTTAATTCAAATCAGACAGCTGTTCTGATTTGTTTAAGTGTGGTGAAATGTGTTTATTATAGGCGTATCGTATCTGTGACATAATTGGTCGAGGATCAGATTTCTTGTTGGTTGCTTCTGTCACTGACTCTTCCCATATGCACGCGTCATTTGTTATTTGATACACAAATAAATAAATAAATATGTGTACGTTTGTTAAATGGAAATTTACGCACTTTGTATTATATAACAATTGAATGAAACATTTAAAACCTTAGTTTAAATCGAATACGCTGTAGTTTACAGCATAAAGCGAATTCCGTTTTGTTAAACAATTGCATTCTTGGTAACTGAATTATTGGTTCTCATATGAATGCGCACATGTGTAAAATCAGAAAAATGTTTTGGCAAAACTACACACATAGTTATGGTTGGTAATTCAATATGTATAATAAGCAAATAAACTCTATAAGCTAAACTGTACAAAATTGAAATTTCGATTCATCTACGAAACAATATTATAAAAGTAAAACATTCAGAATCCCGAAAAACATGCTTGAAAATAAGCCTCGTTTTTTTTTTTACAGCCATCTTGGTTATTATTCGCGCCCAATGCACAAAAATATGCCTATACTTCCGAAAAGGCATATGTGATGCAATTTGTGTATTGTATTCGTATAGTATTCAACAACGTTACTTTTATAGAGTGCATAATTGACTAACATAGAAACAAATTCATTATCAAAAAGTCCCAAATAGACAGGCACACACGCACGCACGCACTAGAAGTGTGGGCCTGGAAGAACGGTAGTCTCCCCACCCACACTCCAGGGAAAACGAATTGTACATTTTCAGGGTAGAAACTGGTTATTTTTCAGGGCAAATTCCTTCTGATCCCCCCTATAAATTTTACTCCTGTATGCCTACGGGCACACTCACGCACCCACGCACACACTCACTCACACGTGCGCGCACACACACTCACACACCAACACACTCGCACGTGCGTACACACAAACACACACACACACACACGCGCGCACTCGCACACACCAACACACTCACAGGTGCGCGCGCACACACACACTCACACGTGCGCACACGCATGCACGAACGCGCACGCACACATACACCAACGCGCACGCGCGCACACATACACCAACACACGTCAACGTACACACACATTGTAGTTTTTAATACAAAGCGCATTCCATTTTGTTAAATAATCGCGTTCTTGTTAGCTGAATTATTGTTTCTCATATGAATGTGTGCATCTATGCAGAAGCGAAACAAAAAAAAAAAAAAAAAGTTTTTGCAAAACTACGTTCATAGTTCCCGTTGGTAGTCCAATAAATCCATTAGATCTTTAAATTAGATTGAAAACCTTCTAGACAGGATTGATTTCTAAATTTTAACAGATAAAAAATATAAATTCAATTTAGTAAGCAATCTACGCATGTTGCCATTTCTATACAGAATATATTCTGGTAGAATGATGTCAGCTTCTATGGTATATCGTTCTACTCCTGAGAATTTGGTTTAGGTCATTCCGTTAGAAACTGAATGTAATAAAACATCCATATCGTGTTTGGCCTGTCTGATCTGGTCACTTCGATAGGAATGGGTTAATTCAAATCGGGAAGAAAATAAAAAGTGAAAATTAAAAGAAAATTTGGATTCATCATTTCGTAGCGTTCCATTGGGCGATTACGTTACCAAATTTGGGAAAGTCTATTAAACTTTTTTTCATTTAATTTAAAATGAAGGAAAAAAATATATATACAAAAGTAGGTATCTCGCCAAAATTTGCTAAAAAAAGACATATACATGATGAAATGTCAAAAACAAAATTTTATCGTGTATAAAGATAAAGAGGGAAGATCAAATTATTTTTTGATTTTAAAAAAAAAAAAAAAAAAAAAAAAAAAAAATTCTGGCGTTAACGTGGCACCATAAATTTGTATGGGAAATCTGAGCATCTTTTTGTGGTGAAAAAAAACATAGATTTGGAAATTCTTGCAAAAATTAGATAATTGTCGGATTTTAATGAAACTTGCAGGTCTTATTCAGAAATGAATGTAATTATTTTTTTAAAATATTTCATTTTTAGAAATTCTTTTTTTTAAATATATTTGTTACCCCTCCATTCATTTAATATTTATGAAATTTCGAGAAATTCTTTTATGTATTGCTTAATGTTTATATTTGTTATAAAGACAAGATCTCAGAGAATTTAAATTCATTTTTTAGTCAAACAAATGCTCCAGTTTCAGAAACTCTCTGAATCGTAAATAATTAAAAAAAAATGCAATAAAAATAAGAAATTATTTAATTGGAAAAGTTTTTAATTGTTTTTATGAATAAAATATATTATGGACGTAAATATATTATCGTAAGAACAAATATTTGTAATCTTTTGTAAAAACTTAGAATAATTTATAAACATTTAAATCTTTTAAAACTCTGTATTAATTTGTAGTGGCCAAGTGATATTGTTATTAAGACTGTATTTACTAATCTTAAATGGGAAAGCTCCCTACATTTAAGCGGCCCTTAGTACTTTAAAATAATTGTAAAAATTTTCATGTTTGTATAAACGTATGGATTCTTGTATGAACGCCCATAAAAGACAATAGAAAATAAGAGCGATACCTATAATAAATTTATTGGTAATTTTCTAACATTTTCTCAAAAATCGTCTTCGTAAGTAAGTCTATAAAACCAAAGTACCCAAAATTCAATAAAATATTAGAATGATTAAAATATTAAATTTTTAAAGATTACTGAATAATTATATACAAGGCGTTCACATTGTATTCGTCATTTAATTTTTTAAGTTATTATCCCCCTTAGCCTGAATTTGGGAAATTTACCTATCAATAAAATCACTCAACACGACAAAATTAAACTTTATTTACATTATTCGGACTATTTTTATCACAACGTTTCGGCCGTTGTACGCTCCGACCTTCTTCAGGTGGTTGGAATGTCGAATTTCGTTCACTGGGGTAGACTGTTCTAGTTCCACGTGCCATGTCTAATGGATGTCAGTTATCTCCTGTTAATTCTCCTCTGAAAGTTCTCCACTGCCTTAACCAGGTATTGAACTCACACTCTTTGGGTCCTGTCACTGGATCTAACTAACGTCTTTATCCACTGTGCCATCTTTCCTTGAAAAAGGCCGGAGCGTACAACGGCCGAAACGTTTTGATAAACATGGCGACAAAGATGAGGGCAATAGTCCGAATAATGTAAATAGTGTACATAATACCCCATCTCAGAAATATGGACAAAATTAAACTTTCTTGACAAATCTGTTAATATGGACGAATTTATTGATTTTACTGACAAGAAAAATGGTTCCAATTAGTTAAATTTCAGTTTGAAATAAACCAAAGTATTTTGCTTATTGGGAATATTAAATTTAACCTATTAGCTTCGAATTAAAACTAAAAAAAAAAAATAAAAATTCAATTTTAGAATACATCAAACTTTCGGTATCATTTTCTTTTTTTTTGTAAAGTATCTATACAAAAGTATTTTTCTTCAGTGTAGATTCTGTTCAAATGTTGATACAGATGCCGTTTGAAATTCGACACCGAAATCCGATGGCGCATTGGAATAGCCAAAGTGGCATTCCAAAATCTAAGCACACTATTAAGGAACAGGCAAATTTCGTTAAAAACAAAGAAGAGAGAACTGGACTGTAATATCAATCCTCCTATGTGGCAATCTTCTCGCAGATGAAGAAGAGACTTGAACCAACAGAAATGTGGTTCTAGGACAGAAAGAGACAGTTGAAATTTCTAGGGTTCATAATGAGAAAAGAGGGCTTGGTAAAATTTACGCTCAGGACAGATTGAAGGCAAGTGGGGCAGGGGAAAACGTTGCATAACCTACCTAAAAAGCTTGTGTAAACGGATGGCAATACTCGGTTTAGGAGAATTAACAAAAAGACAAAATCTACTAACAACTACAAAGGACGGGAACTTGTGGAGAGCCGTGATCAACAAACATGCACACAGAAGAA